TCTCCAGCACCACCTCTCAAATGAGTTGATTTTCTTCTTATCTGCTTTCTTCGCTGTCCAGCTCACATCCATAAATAGTGATGGGGAATAGGATGGCTTGGATTATTCTAACTTTAGTGCACAGATGTATATTTTCACTATCCTCCACTGCTCTTCTTAGGTCCTGTAGATTCATGCCTGTGACCTCCCTAATTGAGTCTATCCATCCAGCATGCAGTCTTCCTCTCTTTCTGCTACCTTCTACCTTTCCTGGCATTATTGTCTTTTCCAATGATTCATGCCTCCTCATGATATGGCCAAAGTAGGACAGCTTTGTGGCTTCCTTGACTGAGTCTATCCACCTGGTATGCGGTCTTCCTCTCTCTACTGCCCTCCACCTTTCCTAAGGTTATTGTCTTTTCCAGTGAGTCATGTCTTCTTATGATGTGCCCAAACTATTATGACAGCCTCAGTTTAGTCATCTTGGTTTTCCGGGAGAGTTCAGGCTTGTTCTGTTCTCTGTCCTCTTGACTGTCCAAGGAAAGTTATACATTGCAAATCCCACCTCATATGTTAAAAGACCTAGGATGATGGATCAAGTCTGCAACATTATAAACAAAGGGATTTGCTTCATTACTCAAGGGAAAGGAATAAAGGCAGTGGTTTAGTCAAGGCAGTACAGTGAACAACATTGTTGTTGTTAACTGCCCTTGAGTGGACCGCCACTCATGGCGACCTTGTATATGAGACATCCACTGCTTTGCTCAAGTCCTGCAAATTCGGACTGGTGATCTTCCTAATTGAGTCTGTCCATCTGGCGTGTGGTCTGCCTCTGTTTCTACCTCTACTTTCTCTAACATTATTGTTTTTTCTAGTGTGCCATACCTTCTCATGATGTGGCCAAAGTAGGACAGCCTCAGTTTAGTCATCCTGGGCCTCAGGCAGATGGGCAGGTTGAAATGGCTGCTCCAATTGTGAGCACACCCTGAGCAGCACAGGACTGCGGTGACCAGACGCTGTGATCCCGAGGCCACCACAGTCCACAACAGACTGCCAGCAAGGAGTGCTTTTTTAGCGCTCCTTTTGTGGTCAGGTTTGAGCCCCCCTTAGGTGGCCATGGCACAGCTTCAGCTCAGTCCGGAGGCATGTGTTATCTAAGTGCCACACCCCAAGATTGGACCACAGGCTGTGCTTTTGGCCCATCTATTTCGGGCCCTGGTTTCCAGGGAGAGTTCACTTTTGTCATCTTGACTTTCAAGGAGATCTCTTTCCTCTTTAACTTGACTTCCTTTCACAGGTGCTGCATTTGTAAGGATAGAACTCCTTGTGGCTTATGTTTCCTTTCTTGGGTGTCTTTTTCAAGTATTACCTGTTTTTGATAATGGTTTTTAGTGATGCACCTGAGATAGAAAGATCAGGAGTGGCAAATGCTGGGATCTTATTATAATCTGCTGCTCTCTGCCAGAGGTCCTCTCAGTGCCACTTTAAAGTGAAAGTGCCCAAAGGGATGAGCCTTGTCTAGAGGTGTATCTACACTGTAGAAATAATGCAGTTTGACATGAATTTAAGTGCTGTAGCTCCATCCTAATGAATCCTCAGATTTATAGTTTTACAAGGTCTATATATAGCTTTCTTTATCAAAAAGTTCTGTTGCTTCACAAAACTACAAATCCCAGGATTCTCTAGGATGGAGCCATGGCAGTTAAAGTATTCTCAAACTGTATTTTTCTGCGGTGCAGATGCACCCTGGACATTGGTAGACCAAATTGCCATATTGGTGACCTTACTGTTTAGTGCATTTTTTCGAAGTTTAAATAAGCCCTTGAAAAGTTTGGTGTGGTTTAGTGGTTAGAGTGGACTTATTTTCTCCCTGCTTAACTATTAAATTTACTGGGTCACCTTGGCCTGGTCTCTCTCTGACTGGTATACCTCACAGGATTGTTGTGAGGATAAAGTGCACGGGCAAGGCATCATGTATGCTATCTTGAGGTCATTGGAGGTAAGACGGGCTACAAATGGAACTAATAAATAAAATAAAGTGGCTCTGAGGCATTTGCCTGTGAAAGCTTGTGATAATTGGTGCAGAAGTTAACATTTTTAAGAAATGTAAACATTTTTTTAAAAAAGTGGAATTTGTAAAAGAGACACTTTAAGGAACGTAGTGTTTCTGTGGATGCCCATCTTTATAACAGCAACATTTTTTTTTTGCAAGATATGGAGGACTTGGTAGTGCCAGGGCTTCCTCTTCTGAATGCTTCTGTTGTCCTGGTAGTTTAATGTATAGATGTGTTTGCAGGAATTCATGCTCTCTCTCTGTGTGTATTCAGTGGTTAAGATGCCTGATCAAAATATGCCACATTATTCATTAAATTCAAAATTGTAAAATTGTTAAAACATTGTAGAAGCATGTGTCTTCTAGGAACTTGAATCTGCAGTAGCAATGAGTTCAACCCAATTAAACAATAGTGATTATGGTCAAAAGTCTGATCTTATGTATCTGATCCCCCCCCCATGACAGTTGTGTTGCATTGTTTCCTTGAAGGACAGCCATAAATACTAACATAAATCTTTGTGAAATGTGTTCTTAAATTGAGAAAGTGAAAAGAAAAACAGATAACAGACTTTCCTACGGTACAGTTTGTTTTACACTCTTTGAATTCTGGTACTAAAAATATAACATTTTAAATAAGAAAGACGGTAAAGTTTTATTAATTATAAATGATACATGAACACTGTGATTACTTAGGGCTCTAGTTCTATGTATATTGCAGATAAAACTCAGTTAAAAATGAGTGCACCATTTACATTTGACAGCCACAGTAAGCAAGATTTTTCCTTCTAAATCCTGGTAATTTAAAAGGGTAAAGTGTTAGTTGATGTCATAATGGGCCTATGATTGGAGGAAGAAGTTTACTGTGCTATAGGGCCTTTACAGACTGCCAGAAATAATGCAGTTTGAGACCACTTTAATTGCCCTGGCTCAATGCTAGGGAATCATGGGAATTGTAGTTTTTTTCTGAGACATTGAGCCTTCTCTGTCAAGGAGCTCTGGTGCCACAATAAACTACAGATCCCATGATTCCCTAGCACTGAGCCAGGGCAGTTAAAGTGGGTCTCAAGCTGGATTATTTCTGGCAGTCTGTAAAGGCCTATAAACAAGGCATTTTGACCATTTGTGTCATGTGAGCAAGCAATTAAATACTCAACCCTATTCTTTAAAAGCATGTAGTCAAACAATAGCCATGTTTTAGATGCTTCAAATTTTGTTGTGAAGAGTATGAAGTAGAAACTGTGGAACTGTCCAAAATAGAAAGCCGTGATCTTGTAATTTTAATAAGGTTCTACTAAAGGTAGCAGCAATCAGAACTTTGAGGCACAGGTAGGCATTAGTGAAGTGTTAATGAAATATCCATATATCCTGGGATGCTTATATAGGTGACTTGTTTGTATCAGCAAGTGGTTGGCTTAGATGACTTTTGTAGTACCTTTCCGCTTTGTGATTCTCTGAAATCAGTCTTTTAAAATTGTGCAAGCCTGCAGAAAGGCCTCGAGTCCTGCTCAGCCACACTTGTTTGAAGGCAGCACTGGATGTGTGTGGCAAATCACCCAAAAGAGACAAATAACAGGCCCTCTTACCTAACTAGCTGTGTGGTTGATGCATTTAATTTAATATTCACACAGTAGAAACAAAAACTAAATTATGAATATGGCTTGTTTAATTACTTTAGAACAAAATGTATCTGCTGCCATAAAATTGAATGTAGGATATGCATTCTCCCATTTGAGACATTTCTAATGATTTGTGGGGTACTTGAAGGCACACAACAACAACTACTACTATAGATGACAATCTGAGGCTGTTGTTCCTTGGACATACCATGAGATGACATAACACATTGGAAAAGACGCTAATCCTTGGTAAAGTGGATCCATTCTATCAAGAAAGCCATGACCTATGGTTGCAAGACATGAGCAGGGCAGCTGATGACTTTTGGAGGTCTCTCAATTATAGGGTTGCCATAAGTAAAAGTCACAACAACCACAAATATTCTTTTTATGCATTACATTTCATCCTCTAGTCGAGTTTTATGTTATACTTCATTGTAGAGTAGACTGATCAGTTATAATATTTTAATAACTTTATCACTGTTTATAGCAAGATTTATATTCAAACATACAGAAGGGAGCTTTTTAAAAGATACTTGACAGTGATCTTATAACCAGGAAACCCATGGAGGAATTCCTGGAAGAAACTGGATGAGTGAATATGAAGTTTGTTTTGGTTTTTAAAAGCTTTTGGAAAACTGGAAGCAGCTGATGACAAAATAATTTCATCATATTACAAGACAGTAAACAAAATATGAAGCAACAAAAGAGCATTACATCTAATAAATGGGAAAATTCCAGGAATTGTGGAAGAGGGGAGCAGTAGTAATTAAGAGTTGTTGTGCGCCTTCAAGTCATTTCTGGCTTATGGCAACCTTAAGGTAAATGAATCAAGGGGTTTTCTTGGCAAGATTTATTCAGAGAAGGTTTGCCTTGGTCTCCCTCTGTGCTGAGTGAGTGTTAATTGCTTAATATCCTTTGGATTTCTGTGGCTGAGCAGGGTTTTGAATCCTGGTCTCCAAAGTTGTAGTCCAGTGCTCAAACCATGGCACCATGCTGGCACTCAGGTAAGAGGTGGGGCATAATTTATTTCACAGTATTTAGAAGCAATCAAGCACAAACATTCAGTGATCCTGAAAACTGCTGTAGAGCTAATTTTCACCTTGCTATTTAATGACACTAAGTATTTGTACTAGCGATCTTTCTGCAAAGTTGGATCTGGATCTTGGATGGAATACATTAGGAGATACATACTGGTGAGGATGGTCTTTTGAGTTAACCAGTTTTCAAGTTGCTGAGGACTTTAAATGTATGAGCCAGCAACGTTTAAGTTAAGTTAGAGAACAGTACTACAAAATTATATGTTCTGATCAGCTAGTCTCTACCAGTAGTTGTTGGCTTCATTTCGTATAAATGAAAAGCTCTTAGTAATTGTGTAAAGGCATCCCTGTATAGAGTGTTTTTGGATGTAGCTTCTACACAAATGGCAGTAGATAGGTCCACCTAGTTTGAAAGGGATAGAGTACGTGTGAAGATTCTCTGCAAACATACACAACTCTTCAGATCCTGACAGAGCAAAAGCAGGCTCCCCCAGAAAGGAACCAGACACTTTTCTTAAGGCCTTTGCAGACTGCCAGAAATAGTGCACATTAAATTGAGGCACTGCCCTGGGTCAGTGTTAGGGAGTCATGGGAATTGTATTTTTTTCTGAGACATTGGGCCTTCTCTGTCAGAGAGCATTGGTGCCACAATAAAATACAGTTCCCATGATTCCCTAGCACTGAGCCAGGGCAGTGCCTCAATTTAATGTGCACTATTTCTGGCAGTCTGCAAAGGCCTTTAGTCTGTACTCAAATACACCGACATACTCCAAGGTCTAAAAACCACTACCGCCATCTGAGGGTTCTCTTTGGGTCCTCCTCCTCCTAGGAATTTGTCGTACTTGATGTTTCTGGATATCTGGGAGCATGGACACCATTATCTGGCTTTACCAGCTTCCCAATTCCAGAGCTGCTGGTTAGAAGCCCCTCATGGTCTGTTGAGCCTGAGACACAGACAGACAGACACACAAAAGCCATATGTCGTTCCCAGGCTTTTAAAAACTTATCAGAATCATCTCAAAGGTTCGTGTTTCTCCTCAACTTCCCATCTCAGTGGACAGTTGCTATCTCATCACCTGTGATGTAGACTCATAAAAATGTAACTGTACCTCCTCCCACATTTAACCCTTTGTAATCTGGGGAGAAGGTTCTGCTAAATGGAGGGACTTCCATTTAAAAGCAAAGCAGCTTCATTTATATACCGCTTCATACCGCACTATGCAGTGTCTAAGCTGTTTACAGCTGCAAGCTCAATATTGATAAATATATCAATAAATGGAGGGACTTCCATTTATCACTGTACTCTACATTGCCTGGTCCATCATCATGGTCTAGTCTAGTCATAGAAGATACTGGTGCATGTCCTGCTTGTGGATTTAGATTTTTACATGAGGAACAATGATGATGAGGTAAACAGACAAGCAATGTCTTGCAACTACTTCAACTTTTCTTTCCTCTAGTTAGCTTGTATTTTCCCACTCCTATAACAGGGATGGGCAATTATCAGGTGTTTAGGGCTGAATTGATCCTGCAAAGGACCCTGGAGGGCTGTTTTCTCCAAATCCCTCCTCACATTCCTGGGGCTTTGTGGTGCAGATTCTCCATTTTTTTTGGTGCCATGGTAAGACCCATGAGAGGACTTTTCTGCAGCAGGATGTCAACTTTCAAGCCACTTCTGCTTGATCTTTAAAAGCTTCTTCTTGGTCCAAAATCAGGACCAAGACAAATGGTTCCCACTCATTTACTTTATAAACAAAGACAGAAACAAGAGAAGACAACCTCCATCTGAACCTTTGGTTGGACTTTCTGGACTAGATTTACACAAAGACAGCACTGGACTTTAAAATGACTCTTACATTGAACAGAACCCAAAAAGGAGACCTGCAACACAATTCAAAGTTGTGAGAGAGATTGTTTTATTTTGCTGTATTGTTGTGATATGTTTTGTACATAGTTGTTTACTCATAATAATTTTTTATTAAAATGTTTGGGGAACAAAGCTTCTTCTTTAAACACTAAAATGCCTCAGGGCTGCTGCATGCCATCACCTTCCTCAGCCCTGCTTTCAGCATGTCTGGGCAGGACCATCCCACCCACCAGAATCTGCTAGGAACCTATGGCTGACACTGCCCTCAAATTTGTGCTGTAGCAAGACCAGATACTTTTTTTTGTGTGTGAAAGCAAAGTGCATGAGCAATATAAGCTTTGTTTTCCCCACAAATAATAGTATTCCTGAAAGCCTCCTAGAATGGCATTAAAAACAAAGCACACATGGCTCATCTAGTTTGCTGTGATGACATTTCTCTCTCTCCCCCTCTTTTTTTTGGGGGGGGGATGCTACACCAAATTCAGCAGTAATAGTGATAGCATGTGGAGGGCCCATGTAGGCCACAGGGAGTGTGTTTCCCACCTTGGTTTTTCATGACAGCTTTTGTATGAGTTGAAGCTCATAAACTTCATGCCTGGCCTCTTGCTAATTCATTCCCTCAAATGAGCATCCTATCAAAGACGAGTCTGGAGAAGGAGACACAAAGAAAGTATTCCAGAAAGCTTATACAAACCAAAAACTACATCCCAAACTTTTGCCTATGAAGTCCCCCCGACACTTCTGGCATTTCCTGATGGTAAAATTGATGGGTCTGAGGAGTGTGTATTGTTGGGAGTCACTGCCTGAAAGTGCAAAGGAGAACGGAGTGAATTAATCAACAGGGAGTCTGTTATTAAATAACCAGATGGATATTTTCATCTTTTTAGTTTCAACTGTGGTGTGGGTGGCCTTGGAGAACTCCAGGCAGCTGGATTAAAGGCGCGTCTATGTGTTCTGTATTTCAAATGGTGTAATGTTTAAAATAAATGTTCCTTGGCAGCAGAAGGGTATTTCCAGTACAAAAAACCACTCATGCACATCCAGCTTTCTAAAATCCTGTTTAAAGAAGGAACACATTAGAATAGCTCTTAACATAAGAATTTTAAAAAATCCTTTTACACTTCTATTTAATGTGAATAAACTGCCAGCATGTTTGTTCAGTATGCATTTTGTTATGAGAAGATCTGAAACAAAGGCTGTATTCAAAACGTATATAGATTAAGCTTATTTAAAAAGTATTCAGATAAGTAATTCAAAATGGGAGGAAGAATCCCTCTCAAGTGATCCCTTAAAAGCCGTCGCAGCAATTATTGGTTTTTAATAGTAGGGGCATCTCTTATTGCCAAAGAAAATTGTGCCAGTGAACCATGAAAAATATTTGAAGCTTAGTAGGTGAATGATTATTATATAAGGTGGCAACATATCATGTTGTGAATTCATAATTTCACGGGATGATGTGTATAGAATTCTTGGGAAGAGGGTATCCTAGCAGAGGGCTAGCGAGAGGTGCATGTGAATGCATAGCTCTGGCCAGGAATCTGTCTTGGAAGGTGTGGTTAATGGTGATAGAAAAGCTTTTTTTTATGTTTAGTTTTGTTCTTGTTTTGTGCCTTCAAGTTGTTTCTGACTTACACTGACCCTAGGATGAGCCATTGGGTTTTCTTGGCAAGATTTGTTTAGAGGTAGTTTGCCATTACCATCCTCTGAGGCTGAGAGCGTGTGACTTGTCCAAGCTAATCCAATGGATTTCCATTGCTGGGTTGGGATGTGAACCCTGCTCTCCCAGTATCCTAGTGCTCAGTCATGAATATTGGTGTGCATAGGTGTGAAGCTTTCCCACAGTTGTGTGCAGTGTTGTTTCTTGAATTCCAGACTGTTGATGAATTCTGCTATATCCTGGAACACTGGAGCCTTCATTGTTGGGACCGCTTCTTCTCTTCCAGCCAGCGGAGAGGCATTCTCTTGTCTGTGCCAGATGTTCAGGATTCTCTGATGCATCTCAAGCAGGTTTTAAAAAAAATTAAATTGCAGAGCTCTGTCACATGTTGACCACAGCCAGTTTTTTTTCTCTGAAGCTGAAAAGCTATGAGGTCTTTGTACGTAGCCATTACAATGTGAACTTTCATCAGTTTATGAATGAAGAAAACTGTATTCATGAGTTTTATGTTGTATACAAATCACATTAGCAATCCTTGATTAAAGAAATGTAATAAATAGACTTGTGACTATATATTGACAGGAAACCATTGTAAGTCCCAGAAAGGTTGAGACTGCTTTGGTTGCCCATGGAAAGCCAGTGTAGTGTAGTGGTTTGAGTTCTGGACTATGACTCTGGAGACAAGGGTTTGAATACCTGCTCGGCCATGGAAACCACTGGGCCCTTGCGCAAGTCACATTCTCTTAACCACAGAGGAACACAAAGGTAATCCCCTCTTAACAAATCTTGCCAAGAAAAACCCATGATGGGGTTGTCTTAGGGTTGCCATAAGTCAGAAACAACTTCAAGGCACTGATCAACAACAATATGACTACTGTTAGAAGAGAGATGGGGGAAGTCTGCGTTTTCCCTTGTTGATGTTCCTCAGTCTCCCAGTGATGATGCTTTTTAGAGCATGACTGCCTAAATTAGAGGTACAGTTTAATGGTCGTTCCACTCCTACCTGTAGTTTTGTTTCCAGAGGGTGGTACTTGGAAGTAACAGTAGTGCTTGGGGAGTGGTGCTTGCAGAGTATTTTTGGAGTCCCATGGATTCTCTGTAGCAATTGATTCTCTGCTCCCTGCTGTTTAAACTGCTCAGTGGAATCTACCAGATATCTGGGATATGTTGTCACTTAGATGCCAGTGACATACAAATCTACTTTCCATTTCTATCCCAAGCAGATGTTATAAATCAGTGCTTCACATTAGTAATGGCCTGGATGAAATCTAATAAACTGAGGGATCCTGCAGACTGGGCAAAAGGAGTGGCCAGAGGCTGCTCCTGCCCTGATTGATGTGGGACCGCAGCGAACTCATGGGCCTGATTCAGGCTGTCGCAGCAGCCCTCAACCTGGCTGCCATCAGGAGCAGCTTTTTGCTGTTGCTTTGTGTTTCAGCTCTTCTGGGTTGGAGCACTCTCCATGTGGCTTCCGGCAGCATTTGGGGCATGCATTGTTTAAACGCCATGCCCCCAATGCAGCCTAAAGCTGGCACTTTTGGCTTGTCTGCTTCAGTCCTGAGACTCAGTCCTGAGACTGGACAAGACTGAGACCAGGATTTTGCCACCAGGTCTAAATGGGGACACATTTCCTCTAAAGGAGCTGCTGCCCAGCCCTAAAATTAAGGACCAAGCCAGCTTACAAGATTAAAAAAAGAGATGAAAATATAAAAAGATAAACAGTAATGTTAAAAGACAATTAAATATAATATTGAAATATTTACTTTAAAAAACAAGTTAAAATACATTGTTTAAAAAATACAACAATACCCCTTAAAAGTCTATTTGTGCAGTCATCAGTTGCCAAAAGCCTGCCTACATAAAAGAAAGTCTTTGCCTGCTGGCGAAAAATCAACAGGGAGGCCCTTTCTCTACAGTACCTTGCATAACTATACATCCACACCCTTTCAACTTTTCTACATTTTGTTGTGTTGTAACCTGGAACTGAAATTGATTTAATTAGCATTGTTAATAATAATAATAATAATATAATAATAATAAAATGTATTTATACCCCGCCCCTCTGTCAACAGTCGGGGCGGCTAACAACAGTTAAAATTCCATAGAGTATGTAAAACACAACCCTAGTCCCACCCTCCCCTTAAAAAGTAGGTAAACTAAGCATATCTTAAAACATCTTAATTAAGCAATATAAATAAATTATGATTCTACTAACAGACTTCTAGACAAAATGA